AAGAAATCTGTGATTCCAAACATTTCAGACACCATCTCTTTTTTTTTTTTAATTGAAGTAAGATTAGTTTTCCACACTGTACATGATTCAGAGGTATAAGTTCACACCTCTTCAGATATGTTACCACAGCACACCCACCACCAAGGCACCCATAGTCCTCCATGATAGGTTATTGGGACCTCTCCCACTTTTGTTCTCTATCATACCCTTATCCCTTTGGTAACCTCAATTTTACAGTCAGATTTCTAGGGTTTGTTTGTGGCTTAGTTTTGTCTATCCCTTTGTTTTGTTTCTCCATATTCCACATATGAATGAATCAATCCAGTGTTTGTCTTTATCCTCTGTCTTGTTTTGTTTAGCATAGTTCCATCAAGTTCTATCCATTTTGTGGCAAATAACAAGATTTTGTCATATATATTTTACATATATATTTATATATATGATTTTTTATAAAAAATATTTTTATAAAAATTTTTTTAAAACTCTTTTATGCACACACACACACCTGACTAGTAGTCCATTATGTGTGTGTATATACATATATATGTATATATACTGTATCTTCTTAATCCTCTCATCTGTCCTTCGTCACTTACTCTGTTTCTACAATTTTGATACTGTAAAAATGTAGACGTGCAAATATCCCTTCAAATGAACGGTTTTACATTCTTTAGGTAGATACTTAGAATGGGAATTGCTGGATCACATGCTAGATCCATTTTTATTTATTTATTTTTTAAAAGATTCATTCATTCATTTATTTATTTATTTATACAAGCACAGTCAGAAGCGCAGGAGGGTGAGAGAATTCACCAGAGTCAGAACGGGGAGCAGAACAGACAGACTGAGAAATACACTGCTGAGGGGAGCAGCAGGTGCAGCAGGAGAGGTCTGCCATGCCATGTGGGACCCTCACCGGTGGCCGGGAATCAAACCAGTGCTGCAGAGGCTGCAGGCAGCTTTGCCACAGGGGAGGCCCATGGATCCATTTTTAATATTTAGAGAAATCTTTATACTGTTTTCTACAGAGACTGGCCCAGGCTACATACCCAGACTACAGAGGCTAGCCCAGACTGTATTAACAAGGGTTCCTTTTTCTCCACATGCTCGTCCATGCATATTATTTCTAGCATTTTTGATAGGGGTCATTTGTACTGGTAAGAGATAGTGTCATTGTAATTTTCATTGCTATTTTCCTGATGATGTGTGATGATGGACATTTTTAAATGTGCCCATTGGCCACCTGTATTTCTTCTTTGGAGAAGTGTCTATTAAGATCTTCTGTCCATTTTTCTTCTTTTTTCTGTTTGGTGTTGTTGAATTATATGAGTTCTTTATAGATCTTGGATATTAGCCCCTTTGTGAGATGTATGATGTAAAATCATTTTCTCTTCAATAGGGTGTCTTTTCATTTTAATGATAGCTTATTTTGCTGCGCAGAAGTTTTTTAGTTTGTCGTAGTCCCTTTGTTTATTTTCCCTTGCTGTTGAAGTCAGGTTCCCAAAAACATCCTTGAAGTAAATGACATGGAATATTTTGCTTATATTTTCTTCTAAGTATTTAATGATCTCAGGTCTTAACATCCAAATTATTTATTTATTTATTTATTTACATCATTGTTCATTTTTACACAATATTTGCTTCCCCCCACCCCCTCAGGTATAGTCCCCATAGAGTTTCCTTCACCAATGCACCCGTGCACCATCATCTCACTCCCCTGTGCTCCTCCCTCCCTCTGATCCCTCTCCCTCCTCCTCCCCTGCAGTGTGTCTCTGATTTATAATTGTCTGTTTTTGCTTTATTGTGTTTTGTACTGTTATTATTATTTTACACTGATGTGTTATTTGGTTCCCCTATATTCCTGTAACAAGTGAAACCATCTGATATTTTTCTTTTTCCTTCTGGCTTATTTTACTGAGCATAAGTTCTTCTAGCTCCATCCACATTGCTGCAAATGGCATGAGTTTATCTTTTCTGATTGCTGAATAATATTCCAACATCCAAATTTTTAACCTATTTCGTGTTAATTTTTCTATATGGTGTGAGTTAGTTGTCCAATTTCGTGTGGTTGTCCAGTGTTATGTGTTTGTCCAGTGTTTCCCAACAATATTTGTTAAATAGACTTTCCCTTCTCTTGGTTCCTTTGTCATGGATTATTTATCCATATTTGTCTGGGTATCTTAACTCTCAATTTTATTCCACTGTCCTGTGTGTCTATTTTTACTACAGTACTATATTGTTTTGTTATAGTACTATACAGTACTATAGCTTTGTAGTATAGTTTGAAGCACAAGATTGTGAAACTTCCATTTTCCTTTTTTGTCAGGATTGCTTTGGCTCTTTGGAATCTTTTATAGTTACATATGAATTTCAGTAATGTTTGTTCTATTTCTTAGAAAAATTGAAACTACAATAGGTATTGCTCTGCATCTGTATATTGTTTTGGGTAAGATAACCATTTTAAAAATGTTAATTCTTCCAAAATATGAGCAGGGAATATCTTTCCATTTCTTTTTTCCCCTTTATATTTTTTTAACAAAAATTTTCTTTTTTTTTCCTCTTTTTTCTTTTTTTTAAAAGATTTATTTATTTATTTATTTATTTATACAAGCACTGGGTACAGTCAGAAGCACTGGAGGGTGAGAGAATTCACCAGAGCCAGAGCGGAGAACAGAATAGGCAGACTGATGAAATACACTGCTGAAGGGAGCAGTGGGCATAGCAGGAGAGGTCTGTCACGCCATGTGGGACCCTTGCCCGTGGCTGGTGATAGAACAGGCACTGCAGAGGCTGTGGGCAGCTTCGCAGCCCAGCGCTCAACCGCTGCTACACCAGGGGAGGCCCAACAAAAATTTTCATTGTGCAATTTCTTTACCTCCTTTGTTAAGTTTATTCCTTGGCATTTAATACTTTCCAATGTTATGGTAATGGTATTATTTTCTAATTTCTTCCTTTTCTAGTATGTTGTTTACATATAGGAATGCAATTTATTTTTGTGAATTGATTTTGTAACCTGCGACTTACTGTACTTCTTTATTATTTCAATTAGTATTTCAATCTTCAGGGTTTTTTAATGTATATTATCATTCATCTGAAATAGTGATGGTTTTACTTCTTTCCAACATGTATTCTTTTTATGTCTTTCTCTTTTCCAAATGCTTTAGCTAGAATTTCCAGTATTATGTTGAGTAATAACAATGAAAATTGATATCCTTGAAGCTAATCTTGAAGGAAAATCTTTCAGTTTCTCACCATTTAATATGATATTAGTTGTAGGAATGTCTATGTGACCTTTATTATGTTGGGGTATGTTCCTGCTATACCCATTATTTGAGGTTTTTATTATAAATGGAAGTTGAATATTGTCAAATGCTTTCTCTGCATCTATTGCTGGAGAATGATTTTTATATTTCCTTTTGTTGATAATGGTGTATTAAATTTATTGATTTTCAGATGTTGAACCTTCCTTGCATACATACAATAAATCCCATTGGTCAAGTTGTATAATCCTTTTAATGTATTGTTGAAATTTGTTTGCTTATATTTTGTTGAAGATTTTTACATCTATTTTCACTGGGAATATTGGTTTGTAGTTTTCTTTTTGTGTGTGAAGTGTTTTGTCTGCTCTTGGTAGAAGAATAATATTGTATCATTATTTTTATAACAAATGCTTGAAACACCTTTCTAACTATTCTGAAATGTAATTTATATATAACACATTACAAATAAATGTGACATCCTGTTATAAAAGAGTAGTAAAAGAAAAGTAACTTTTGTAAAGTATGTATTCCAATTTCCAAATACCCATCCATGTTTACTGTTGAAAAATAATTAAAAAAAAAAGGTAAAATAATGATTCTTATCCAGGTGTAAAATGAACATAAGTTATATATTTTAATTAACTGAAAATGAGGAACTGGTCTAATGTTATAACTTATTCAAGAGAGAAATTAAAAAAGGAACACACTTATGGATCATCAATATTGAAATGAATCTACAAAAAGATGCAAACCTAGGTCTTCAATGGTTGGGAGGACAGGTTAATTGGTACTCTGCCAAATAGTATAGAATTTGCATGTCTACAGACAAAAATTTTTTCACATTGGTATAAGTATTCTGCATTTTACAGTATTGTGATATAGCTCCCAATGAAGCAGAATCAGATAATTAGAGGAGTGTACTATAGACTACAATTTTTTATTGAAGTATACATTTCCCCCTACACTGTTTTTAATGAGATAATCAGCTACTTGCTACTATAGGCATCTAAACTGGTTACTGACCCAGTGGTTGAATTGTCATCCCCAATATATTGAAAAGTGATGTCACTGGATAGTTTCTGAAATGGAGACCAACTCTGGGTAAATTTCTGAATAAAGTACATTCTTCCTTCAACTTACTTAGTACCTAAAGTCTAGACTATTTAGTGCTTATTTAAACTGCTTGAGAGAACTTCGTATTTGAATGTATAATGAAATTAGGATCTAGGTTCAGATAATTATAAATTAGTTTTTCACCTGTATGAATATCTGGCAGGATATTTGAAAATTGTGAGGGAAATTGCAAGTCTTTCATTGTGAGTGATTTTCCTGCATGATGCAGGGGATCTACCCCTCTGACCCTACCCACTAAATGCAATGGTGCCTTCCAGTCATTGCACATTGTGATGATCAAAAAATAGTCCCACAAGTTGTACACACACTAACTAAGGATGGAGTCCTGATGGAGAAACACTGTCATAACTGAAATGTGCTCTGGGGCCCACTGCTTCACCTCAGCTCCACCTCTAGCTGTTGCTTAGCTAGGCAATAGTAGAACAAGGCAACAGGCCTTCTTGAACAGAGTAAGGTTAAAATTATGTTTTAACTTTTGCATTCGTTTACTTTCTTCCTTTATTTTTTAAATATTTTCTTACATCTTTATTCATTTTTGTACAGTATTTCATTTTCCCCCTCAGTTGTAAACAATTGACTGATTTTCTCTGAATTCTTTTCTTCCAGGTTTACCCATCAAGTAAACATCCAAATGACATCCCTAACTCAACATAAATTCCCCACCCACTCCAAGTTTATATAAATTGGAGATTTCTTCTGTCTTTCTAAAGTGTGTTTTTTTTTTAATCTATGTTCTTGTCAGAACTATAGGGAGCTTTCTGAGGAAAAAGTACCTGCATTTTGGTAGTGTTTGCAGTAAGATGGCTGAGTCATTTGTTGCATTATCTTGTCATCCATCAAAGCTGGTGATAAGAATACTGAATTCCTGGGGATTGTTTGAGGAAAATATTAAAAGCTTTGATTGAAAGTACCTCCATTGTTCTTCCTTCCTTCTTTGTTCTTTCCCCTTGGTCTATGGTGGTGGAATATGGGTGAGTTGGTGGTCGATTTACTATGATGGTAATACCTGATGAAGTATCCAATATTACCTAAATTAAAAATAAATAAATAAATTAGCTATAAAAAAAGAAAATTAAAAAAGAAAGGATCTCCAACACAGGCCAGGGAAACATTCTCATTGTGATTTCCTATCATGCCCCAAATGCCCTGGGACCCTGCCAAATGCCGGGGCCATATTATCCTGATGTAATTAAGCCATAAGCCCCTTTTGGGGGCTCAGCTTGAAGTCATGCACAATCCCTGAGGAGAAGAGTCACACTTGTAGCAATGCCAGGCTCTTACCTTTCTTTTCCAAATGTCTGCAAGTTAAACCACTTTTATAGAAACTGGAGCTATTTGATATTTAAAATGTCCTATTTGGAATGCTCCTGTGATAAGAGATGGGTTTGACCACCTCAATGGCATTTGCTGTAACAAAGCAGTAGGATTTGTAAAATTTCTATCTTCATAAAAATTTTATGCTACTTTCCTATCCTTTAGTTCTATCTCTCTCCCTCTCTCCCCCTCCCTTCTTTCTTTCCTTCCTTTTTCTTCTTTCTTTCCCTTAGCTCAGATCACAGTGTGACCCAGACTTATCTTCTCTTCAAATTAGTATTTCACCTTCTATAGCAGATCTACTTCTGCAAAATGTTCATAGGTTTTATAAGAACTCCAAAGCGGGGCGGGGAATCATAGAGCAAAAGTAGTTAAGAATTCTTGGGCCTCCCTGGTGGCGCAGGTGGTTAAGCACCGCACTATGAAGCCATCCGTAGCCTCTGCAGCACGAGTTTGATCCCCAGCCAGCAAGGGAGCTACCCACATGGCACAGCAGACCCCTTCTGTCTCGCCCACTGTTCCCCTCAGCAGGGTATTTCAGTCAGTCTGCCTGTTCTGCTCCCCACTATGTCTCTGGTGAATCCTCTCACCTCCCGCATCTCTGGCCTGTACCCCAGCTCTTGTATGCATAAATAAATAAATCTTTAAAAAAAAAAAGTGGTTAAGAATTCTTGCTGGAGTCTCTCATCTAGCAGCTGTACAAACACCATTTTTTGAAAAGATTTATTTATTTATCTATGCATACAAGAACTGGGGTACAGCCCAGAGGTGTGGGGGGGTGAGAAGATTTACCAAAGACAGAATGGGGAACAGAACAGGCAGAGTGACTAAAATACACTGCTGAGGGGAGCAGTGGGCAAAACAGGAGTGATCTTCTGTGCCATGTGGGTAGCTCCCTGGCCGGGGATTGAGCTTATGCTGCAGTAGCTGCAGACAGCTTCATAAGTTGCGTCTTAACTCCTTGTGCCACCAGGGAGGCCCAACAAAAAACATCATGACCCTTTTAAAAAGATTTTCATGATGCCCATAATCCATTAAAAACAAAGTAGGGAGAAGAAGGATTAAAACAAAACAAAAATCCTTGGTGATCCCACTTTAAAAAAATGCGCCTTGTTCAGGGTAAGTTGAAAGAGAAAACATCAGTCTCAATGAAATATTCTTTGAATCTAAGAAGTTAAGTGAAAACCAAATTTTTTATAATCTGTAGTCTTTTAGTATCTGGTACAAAATTATCATTCAGTAGCTTAATATCTCTATTAGATAAATTTTTGTTGATAGATAATACTGATACTAAAACAGTTATTACTGTATTTGGAATAACATAAATAATTTAACAATTACCCATTATCATATACTCTGAGCTTAAAATCCAAGCAATTTAGGTGCATTCACTATATGTATATTGAAAATCATATACCAATTTGTAGAACCCATAGTGTGCTTAGGAGGGAAGCAGAGAATACAAATGTGGGAATGAAATGCAGTTAGCCAAAATTGTGTAAACGAAATCTAGACTGTTTCTGGGAACATAATTTCATGAATAAAGATGATCTAGCCTCTCTGAACTATGTATTTTAAGATTAATATTTCTCAATAGTACTTGTCAAAGTGAGTGGCAGTGGAATCCATAATAAGTACTTTATTGAATTATATTTAGTTTAAATATAAATTTAAAAAGCACCATGAATTCTCAAGTCAAATTATGTTACCCTAAAGTTAATTCATTGTACCATGATTCAAAAGAAATAATTCATTTTAATCTCTCACAAAATACTGGTTGGTGTTTCTAACAATTCAATCATTTTTTAATTAATAAAAATTTACTTTTATAGCAATTCTAAAATTCATAGCAAAAGGGAGCAGAAGGAACAGAGAGTTCTCATATACTCCCTGTCCCCACACATGCCTCCCCCAATGTCATCTTGCACCAGAGTTATATACACTTGCCACAGTCAGTAAACCAAAGTCCACAGTTGACATTAGGTTTCACTCTTCATAAACACTTGAAGGGTTTTGAAAAATACATAATGACATATCTGGATCCATCATTACAGTATCATATGGAATCGTTTTACTGCCCTAAAAATCCTCTGTGCTATTCAGATTCATCCTCCCTTCCCTGGCGCCCAACCCCCAGCAATCTTTTTTTTTTTTTTTTTTTTTTTTACTGTTTTCATAGTTTTGCCTTTTCCAAAATACTGTGTTGTTGGAATCATATAGTCTTTTCAGATTGACTTCTTACACTTAGAAATATGCATTTCATGGGACCTCCCTTTTGGTGCAAGGGGTTAAGACACAACCTATGAAGCTAACCACAGCCACTGTAGCACGAGTTTGATCCCTGGCCAGGGAGCTACCCCCATGGTGTAGCAGACCTCTCCTGACTCACACACTGCTCCCCTCAGCAGTGTGTTTCAGTCAGCCTGCCTGTTCTGTTCCCCACTCTGTCTCTGGTGAGTCCTTTCATCCCCCTCCCTGTATAAAAATAAAATAAATCTTAAAAAAAAAAGAAATATGTATTTCAATTTTCCTCCATGTCATTTCATGACTTGATAGCTCATTTTATTTTAGCACTGAGTAATTATATTCCATTATCTGGATGGAGCACAGTTTTATATCCACTCACCCACTGAAGGACATCTAGTTTACTTCCAAGTTTTGATAATTCTGAATAAAGCCTCTATAAACATCTGTGTGCAGCTTTTTGTGTGGACAAGAGTTTTCAGCTCACTTGGGTAAATACCAACCTCTTTCCATGCCAAACTGGAAACAAGATGTTCTCAAAGACATGATTTTTTAAAAAAGTTTTAGAAAGTTAAATGGTCAAAAGTTTTATTGGTCATATTGCTCAGTCTCTTCATCTCAGACTGAAATGCCATCTTTTAAGGGATTTTTTTTTCTTTTCTCTTTTGAGCTTTTTAGTATTCACTGAATATTATTTATCAGGTACGTAAGGAAAATAGACCTTTTTAGTATTCACTGAATATTATTTATCAGGTACGTAAGGAAAATAGACCTTTTTTTTTTTTCCTCTGGTTTCTTGAATCAAGAATCTAGTTAGCAATTTTCATAGATAATTTTTCAAGTAAAAATTGGAAATGAATGTAGGCTATATTTCTATATTTCCATTTGTCTTTTTCTTTTGCCAATTTAAAATCCAGGCTCATAATCCCAGGTTATGAAATTACACTAAAAAACTTTCATCAAAGTTGTATTTTCTCTCTGCCGCTCTAAGAGAAATAAACTCCCTCTTCTTAGAAGATAAAAATTGAATCTTTTTGTACCAAATGGGTAAGAGTTGGTATCAGTGGATGATAATACATTGATGAGGTCAGTCTATATACTCATTACTTTCATTGCTGTCTTCTGTGAGACTCCCTAAGGGCAGGGACAAGACCTATTTGATTCCTCTTTGACATGTAGTTGATATTTCAATATATATTTGTTGAATGCATCATTGGTTCTTCAGATTTATTGTGTTAATCAACCTTATTGATTTAACAGTATTTAAGTAACTATTAGGCATAAGGCTTCATATTGGGTATTGTGGGAATACAAACAAATCTAAAGTTTTTTACCTGCCTTCAAATAGTTTATACAATTGTCCATCACTTAGCTGAATGTCTTTGTCAAACCCATATCCTCAGCCTTTTTCTCTTCCTCCTCTGGAGGGTTCCCCTAAAGCTATGGCTTTTAGTAACTCTCTGCTTGAAGGTATTTTTTTAGCCTTGGAACAGCTCAGAGTACCTCAAAGGCAGAGCTCAAGTGTCAGAGAATTGACATCTCCGGAGAAACTCACAACCATTGAGGGTGGCAGTTTCATGTCCTTCTGTAGGACACTTCTAGGTTTGTGCTACCCAGACTCTCAGGGTGTCATCATTGGGTTTGAGCCCCAGTTCTTGCAACAGTAATCCGCTTGTTAAAGCATCCTTTGTTGACTTTTTCTTGGTCTCATGTCCTACTCCTTCACAATGCTTCCTGGGAAACCTTCAAGAATAAACTTCCATAACCAAATCCCATACTCAGGGTTTGATTTTGGAAGAAGCATGGACTAGAAGATAGAGAGGCATGAACATAGTGCTATGGAATTGCAGAGGAGAAGGGGAGAAGATTTAGAAGGGAAGAAGGTTTGCTGTTATTTGAATGGAGTCTAAGTGGGGTTGGTGAGTGCATCTATAGGAAGCTATACTGCTTTCAGCAGAAAAAACAAAGGAACAGATGTACAGAAGAACACAAATTGCTCAAAGAACTTTAGACAATCTGTCTGGCAGGAATGTACATATGTTAGGGGGAAATGATGTCCTGAGATAATCCCATGCAGGCTTTGTGGACCCCACCCCCACTCCATACTAAAGCCATCAAGACATTGGGAAAGACAAATCCCATCACCACCAAGGGGAAGGTGGCTGGAACCTGAGGGTGGAGTTGGGTAGCCAGGTTGGATAAAAAAACCAAACACGTGGGCCTTGGGCTCTCTCTGGCTCAGGATCGCTCGCCTCCCGGTTTCACGGCTCCTGGCTGGCGGCCAGCTCTGAGAGCGCCATTTTGGGATTCCTGATCGGCGGAT